AATTTGCCCGATCCGCAAGCTATGTTCGACATCAGTTACTTCTCACGTGATCCACGACCATTCTTCAAGTTTGCGCGCGAAATATATCCCGGACAATTTAAACCATCACCTTGTCATTGTTTTATAAAATTGCTCGAAGAGAAGCAGAAATTGTTGCGCAATTACACACAAAATATAGACACTTTGGAGAAGGTAGCTGGCATAAAGAACGTTATAGAATGCCATGGCTCGTTTTCGACGGCTTCGTGCACGAAATGCAAAGTCAAATGTACAGCAGATGCTATACGGGCTGATATCTTCTCGCAACGCATACCCGTATGCACACGTTGTCAGCCCAATGTGCATCAGAGTGTTAATGCTTCTGACGCAGTATCGGGTTCAGATTTGAGACAGCTTGTGGAGAATGGAATAATGAAGCCAGATATTGTTTTCTTCGGCGAAGGTAAGCTAGCTTTTAAACTACCAATCCACTTAGTTTCAATTTTAGCTCTTAAATGTAAATCTGTCTGCGTTAATTTCATTAATTTTTTGATTGTAACTGAGTACGTATTTCAATTATTCAAATCATGCACATGCAGGTCTTCCCGAAGAATTCCACACTGTCATGGCGGGTGACAAAGACAGATGTGACCTGTTGATTGTTATAGGTTCTTCTCTCAAAGTGCGGCCGGTAGCGTTAATTCCCAGCTCAATACCAGCCAATGTGCCGCAGATACTCATCAATCGGGAGCAGCTGCATCATCTCGAGTTCGATGTTGAATTGTTGGGTGATTCCGATGTTATCATAAATCAATTATGCCATCGCCTAGGTAATGATTGGAAAGAAAGCTGCTATGATAGCTTCATATTGAAGGAATCCAAGGAACTCTTACCAGTGGAAGAGGAAGACACTAACGATGAAGGTGAGGAAGGTGGCCAACAGATGCTAGATACAGACACACAATCAGTTATGTCGAACGCATCCACAGATTTGGCGCTACGTTCGACAGTTGCTTACTCGGATAGCGGGTTCGAATCGTCAACATCATCTGGTATGGTACTTGCTAAACAAAACATTGCAGCGGCTAGTAGTGAGGCTATGGAGGCAATAGAAAAAATCAAAACCACCATATTGGAGATGCATCAGCCATTGATAAAGAAACGTCAGGGTAGCAAGCCAGTGTCAGTTAATTACTTAGAAGATCCTAGTGATGCTGTAGATTTTGAAACTCGTTCCTTTCAACCATTTAATGAGCGCATAAGTGAGCAGCACCACCACCACACGACATGTGGTGTAAATACACGTCATCCGTCAGTTGATTCAACCAAGGACCGTGGTATAGTGGGCGACTGCTGCATTTCGGCGCAGATTTCAAACAATGTCATTGGCATTCTGCCGCCACCGATTACAAATTTTGGTGATAGTGGAGGCACAAAAGCTATGAATAACCCCTTCACAGCTCTACCTACCTGCACAGATAACAAAACTACACCCGCGGCAACAGTAACAAGGACAGAGTCGCCGCTGCCACCGCAAATGGTAAGCGATACAGAGAAAACATCAACAGCGGTCACAATACGTAGCAGTGCTAAGAAATACCGTACTGCAGCGGAACGTTTGCTCGAAGGTACATACTATGCGCACGACACCGTTTCAGCTTATGTATTCCCCGGCGCACAAGTCTTATGGTCGTCCGATGTCGAAGAAGAGGATCAAGAAAACGGCATTGGAAATATGTACGATGACGTCGATGAGGATGATATCGATGCAAATGGCGGTCCGCTCTCACCACTCTTGCCGCCATCTGTGGAAGCAGAAGTAGTAAGTGAAATAACAACAAGTGCATTTGCAATTTGCGCCAAGCGAACGCTACCCGCGTCCTACAGCATTAGCGGCGATATTAACCAAGCGGCGGATACGGAATTGCAAACCGATAGCAATAAAAATTCGAGTATACCAAGCAATACAACAGCAACAACCTGCAGCGCTAGGGAAACCACATGCGACAGTGTAAGTGTGACAATGCCGCCTTCTCCTTCACCATCGCCGCAAAAGAGAGCTTGTGAATGCCCTCCAATACGTGGTGGTGGTAGCGACAGCAATGTCGAAGCAAACGATAGCAGTAGGAGTAGTAATATTGGTAAATCTGAATGCCATGTGCCTCCCTTAAAGCGTAAGCGCTCAACAGATGATCAGAAAAATTTGGCCGCTGTATATCCGGAAGTGTGTTTTGATGCAACGCAAAGCGGTAAGATTGATGACACACCTCTTTTGAGTAGTGGTGGTGGTGGCGCAGACGCCGGGTCGCCAAAGGTGTATGCAACACAGCTGGTTCAGAATTAAGATTACCACTCTTCCGGTTCTGATTGATTCGACTGCAGCAAACTTATTGGAAGTCATATAAGAAGAGAAACTACTACAACAAACACAAAAGTATGCATTAATTAAACTTATTTATTGTTTGCTACATATGTTTTTACAAGTATCGATAACTGTACATGTATTTAACGTTTGTCCTATTAAACATTTAAGTCATACACATACATACGCAAAGAGAACATAACTATTGGATTTTGATTTGCATTGAAATCCTTAAGCTTAAAGCGTGTAAGTGTGCGAAAAATTGAAAGAAATTTAAATTTTGGGTTTAATTTTCATGTACATTTTTAGTGCTCAGAGTACACGACAATTCGGTCTACATACAGTATCGGTTTAACCAAGTTTAACTATTTGTAGAAAACTTCAAAAAAGTGCAACAAATTTTCACCTAAATTTCAAACTTTTTTCTCAGAAGTGTTTGAATTTTTCTGAATACACAGTTTTATAGCCCAATGAATTTTAGTCTGATAATGTGCAAGTTTCAAGTGACTGAAAGTTACCGTTGATTTTTTAGAATTTTTTTCTCCAAAGGTGTTGCGGCTTTCCTCCATATACAAATAAATTGTGTTTATTCATTATATGGAAGCCAATGCGACAAAAAAAATTCTAAAAAATTAACGGTACTTCGTACCTACTTGAAATTTGCACATTATCAGACTAAAATTGCAGGGGCTAAAAAACTGTGTACTTGAAAAAAATCTAACACTTCCGAGAAAAAAGTTTGAAACTTAGGTGAAATTTTTTTGCACTTTTTTGAAGTTTTCTATAAATTGTTCAACTTGGGTTTATATGGGGTTTGTTAGAGAAAGAACTGTATTTTAATTGAAAATTCTTAAAAATAAATAAATAAACATAAGTGGCACACAATATCACTTTGAAATGGCGTGCTATAGATATGACCGATACTGTATATGTAGTTTGCGACACCGAAAATATGTTTTAAGAGAATTAAAATTTTGTGCGTTTATTTTAA